TCCTAAATGTGGCTGCAACAAACGTCCTCTGATAAAAACAAAAGCTCAACGTTTTTCAAACAATGAATGTGCTGCCTGTTGCCTTTTAAGTTGTTGGCCATTTTGTTTTTTGCCCTGGCTATTGCAGGGTCCAAGTCAGGATTATCTGCACTGTGCAAATTGTAAAACATTCCTCGGTTTATATGATCGCAATACTAATTGTATACAACCAAATCGTTTGTATATCACAATCGAAACAAATGATCAGTGTGTTGTCAAGGATGAAAACAGTGCGACTAATGAAAAAGCTGACAAACTATTGGATAATGAATCACCACCTCCCAGTTCAGCTGGTGATGATAGTGCTAAAGTAAAACGTTTACCCTCCATTATCATAGATGGTAAAGAACTATCACCCGATGTGGTGGCACGCATACAGAAATTTAAAAAATACGGTTCTTTAGCTGGCATAGATTTAGATGCTTTAACCAATCCGTCGGATTCCCCAAATTCAACTAAACGTATTGGTTCCTATAGAGAAAATCAAAAAGCTCCATCTAATGGCAAAGCGAATAAGAAAAATGTTGTAAAGAGTGCTTGAACTTGCTAAATGTAAATGTTGTGTTACATGCAGTCAGCTTTCGGTGTACTAGAGCTTTGTGCGTTATGTTAAAAATGTTTGCTGATGATTTAAAGCTTTTATGTAAAAATTAACAGAAATGTTAAGGTGCTGCGAGTAATTACCTGATTTTAAAAATAAAATAATTAAACTATTCAGCAAAAAAATAATGCGATAATTAATGAGTAACTAACTAACTGACTAACTAACTAACTAACTAACTAACTAACTAACAAACTAACTAACTAACTAACTAACTAACTAACTAACTAACTAACTAACTAACTAACTAACTAACTAACTAACTAACTAACTAACTAACTACTAACTAACTAACTAACTAACTAACTAACTAACTAACTAACTAACTAACTAACTAACTAACTAACTAACTAACTAACTAACTAACTAACTAACTAACTAACTAACTAACTAACTAACTAACTACTAACTAACTAACTAACTAACTAACTAACTAACTAACTAACTAACTAACTAACTAACTAACTAACTAACTAACTAACTAACTAACTAACTAACTAACTAACTAACTAACTAACTAACTAACTAACTAACTAACTAACTACTAACTAACTAACTAACTAACTACTAACTAACTAACTAACTAACTAACTAACTAACTAACTAACTAACTAACTACTAACTAACTAACTAACTAACTAACTACTACTAACTAACTAACTAACTAACTAACTAACTAACTAACTAACTAACTACTAACTAACTAACTAACTAACTAACTAACTAACTAACTAACTAACTAACTAACTAACTAACTAACTAACTAACTAACTAACTAACTAACTAACTACTAACTAACTAACTACTAACTAACTAACTAACTAACTAACTAACTAACTAACTAACTACTAACTAACTACTAACTAACTAACTAACTAACTAACTAACTAACTAACTACTAACTAACTAACTAACTAACTAACTAACTAACTAACTAACTAACTAACTAACTAACTAACTAACTACTAACTAACTAACTAACTAACTAACTAACTAACTAACTAACTAACTAACTAACTAACTAACTAACTACTAACTAACTAACTAACTAACTAACTAACTAACTAACTAACTAACTAACTAACTAACTAACTAACTAACTAACTAACTAACTAACTAACTAACTAACTAACTAACTAACTAACTAACTAAACTAACTAACTAACTAACTAACTACTAACTAACTAACTAACTAACTAACTAACTAACTAACTAACTAACTAACTAACTAACTAACTAACTAACTAACTAACTAACTACTAACTAACTAACTAACTAACTACTAACTAACTAACTAACTAACTAACTAACTAACTACTAACTAACTAACTAACTAACTACTAACTAACTAACTAACTAACTAACTAACTAACTACTAACTAACTAACTAACTAACTAACTAACTAACTAACTAACTAACTAACTAACTAACTAACTAACTAACTAACTAACTAACTAACTAACTAACTAACTAACTAACTAACTAACTAACTAACTAACTAACTAACTAACTAACTAACTAACTAACTAACTAACTAACTAACTAACTAACTAACTAACTAACTAACTAACTAACTAACTAACTAACTAACTAACTAACTACTAACTAACTAACTAACTAACTAACTAACTAACTAACTAACTAACTAACTAACTAACTAACTAACTACTAACTAACTAACTAACTAACTAAACTAACTACTAACTAACTAACTAACTAACTAACTACTAACTAACTAACTAACTAACTACTAACTAACTAACTAACTAACTACTAACTAACTAACTAACTAACTAACTAACTAACTAACTAACTAACTAACTAACTAACTAACTAACTAACTAACTAACTAACTAACTAACTAACTAACTACTAACTAACTAACTAACTAACTAAATAACTAACTAACTACTAACTAACTACTAACTAACTAACTAACTACTAACTAACTACTAACTAACACTAACCTAACTAACTAACTAACTAACTACTAACTAACTACTAACTAACTAACTACTAACTAACTAACTAACTAACTAACTAACTACTAACTAACTAACTAACTAACTAACTAACTAACTAACTAACTAACTACTAACTAACTAACTAACTACTAACTAACTAACTAACTAACTAACTAACTACTACTAACTAACTACTAACTAACTAAACTAACTACTAACTAACTAACTACCTAACTACTAACTACTACTAACTACTAACTAACTAACTAACTAACTAACTAACAACTACTACTACCTAACTAACTAACTAACTACTACTACTAACTACTAACTAACTAACTAACTACTACTAACTAACTAACTAACTAACTACTAACTAACTAACTAACTAACTAACTACTAACTAACTACTAACTACTAACTCTAACTAACTAACTAACTAACTAACTAACTAACTAACTAACTAACTAACACTAACTAACTACTAACTAAACTACTAACTAACTAACTAACTACTAACTACTATAACTACTACTAACTACTAACTAACTAACTAACCTAACTAATACTAACTAACTAACTACTAACTAACTACTAACTAACTACTACTACTAACTAACTAACTAACAACTAACTACTAACTAACTAACTAACTAACACTAACTAACTAACTAACTAACTAACTACTAACTAGAACTAACAACTACTAACTTACTAACTAACTACTACTACTAACTAATACTAACTAACTAACTAACTACTAACTAACTAACTAACTAACTAACTAAACTACTCTAACTAACTAACTACCTAACTAAATAACTAACTAACTAACTACTACTAACGAACTAACTAACTAAAACTAACTAACTAATGGCCCACGACAGATACCCTGCACCAGTTACTAGTGCAGGGTGATTCTGATCCGAATGGTTTACTTTCAGGTGGGCTATAATAAATAGGACTTTATTAGGTCTTCAAAAATTATCTCAGTCAAATTAAAAAAGAACATCTCATACTGATCTATAAAATTTAGGTTTATTACATATAAAAACAAGTTTTTGATATCTTACAAATAATATTAATTTCTTAATTCTTTTCATTCGTTTCTTTTTTCTCTTCCGCCTTTTTGGCCTTTTCCTTGGCACGATTTTCTTTCACTCTTTCCCTAGCCTTTTGCATATGTTCCGCACAGTCGCGGGGTTTAGTTTTTAAAGTCATGGCATCGTTAGCAGCCTTCTTGCGGGCACGTTTCGATATGCAACGCTCACCGCAACCAATCGATACAAAACGACCGATAAAGCAACCACAAATACTGCAATAATGATTGATGTCATAACGGCTTTCTGAAGTTTTGCTGAAAGTGAAGGGAAAAACAAAACTTTGGATGAAAAGTTGAACTTTTTGAGAAAGTGAAAATTTCTAATCGTTAGTTTTTTGGTTGTACTTATGATAAATTTAGTTAATTTACTTAAAATTAATTGTAACTGATTAATCTGCAAACTACACTATTAAGTTTTCTGATTTTGAAGTTTTATAATAACAACAAAACTACTTACCACATATTGGTAAATTTTAAGAACTTTTGCCAACATGTTACCACCTCCAGACGCACTACACTCATTGATTCCGCCAAACATGCTGGACAATTAATATAGGTGGGATGTTTCTGTAAAAATCCAATATTTTTCAATTCAATCGGCTTGATGAGGGGTTGTGGAGGGCCCGGTAAGATAACTTCTATACATGGTTCTTCTTCAATTGCGACCATTTTCAATGATCTTGTTATACGATCTATTAAATACTAAACGAAACTAAATAATTAATTTCAATGTTTTTAGATTTTACTAAATCAATCTCTTAGATGGAGAATAATTTTTAGATCTAATGAGTAGAGAGATTGAATAGTTTTCATGCTCTTAAAAATCAAATGTTTTTAAAAAAATTTAAATATGCTCTTTAAATTTTGTTTGTTTATATTTTTTATAAATATAATATTCGTAGTACCAGTTAAGATACAATGTTTTATATTAATTTAAGAATAGTAACAAAAATATTTGGATAACTGGTGTGCTAACTTTGGGGCAATCTGATTTGTTATGAAAAATCACCTCCAGAAAATATGAACCCTTCTCCAGTTTGCAGTTAACCCTACAATATGTATTAAGTTACATATATCCGAAAAATGCTGGGGTTAGCTAGGGACCGATCGCGATTTATATATTTTAAAAATTCTGAAATTTAACTCTTGGAATAGTTACAAAACCTGAATTTTATAAGATTATAGATTATTAAGAATATCTTTCTGGGGATTTGAGTTAGGTGTCAATAACTTTATAAAATAGTTTACACCCAATTATGGTCCCACTCGAAGTATTATTATTCTACGTGGCAGAGTGTATTTCGCTTATAGAAAGTGTATTAGATTTTTCATCGCCGATTATGTAGGAGAGGTCTAGTGATCATATGATTTAGAACATACCACTGGGAGAGTAATCGATTATTGCACTCTTACAGACCAATACGTTCATAGACTTAACTTGATCATCGGATATCATTCGAAGTTATTGCCTTCTGGATATCGGAAAATATGTTTACATGTTTTGGCGACATACTGTTCCTATATATTTTACTAGAACTGAACTAGAACAGAACTAGAACTGAACTAGAACTAAGCTAGAACTTAACTAGAACTGAACTAGAACTGAACTAGAACTGAACTAGAACTGAACTAGAACTGAACTAGAACTGAACTAGAACTGAACTAGAACTGAACTAGAACTGAACTAGAACTGAACTAGAACTGAACTAGAACTGAACTAGAACTGAACTAGAACTGAACTAGAACTGAACTAGAACTGAACTAGAACTGAACTAGAACTGAACTAGAACTGAACTAGAACTGAACTAGAACTGAACTAGAACTGAACAAGAACTGAACTAGAACTGAACTAGAACTGAACTAGAACTGAACTAGAACTGAACTAGAACTGAACTAGAACTGAACTAGAACTGAACTAGAACTGAACTAGAACTGAATTAGAACTGAACTAGAACTGAACTAGAACTGAACTAGAACTGAACTAGAACTGAACTAGAACTGAACTAGAACTGAACTAGAACTGAACTAGAACTGAATTAA